CTTGCTGGCAATGCAGTACCAAGGCCCCCGACTGTGATACACAGCCTGCTGATAATTCCTCCTGGCTGGCACCAGATAACAAACCTGCCACCATTGGCATTGCACCAGACCAGTTGGAGTGTGGCCCTGCCTATGGCAGCTATGAGGGCATAACACAGAGGCTCCTCCCCATGTGATCACTGGAGTGGAGGCAGGCCCTGCAGCCAGGAAGAAGGAAAAACTTTTTCCTCCCAGCAGGCACTGGCACTGCTTACCTGTGACCCTTAGCACTGCTCCAGGGGTTGGGCAGCTTCACAGAGTAGAACTTCTGGACACTAGAGAGTGCGACCTACACAAAGTTATTATTCCATAGTAATCATTAGAAAACTGAAAAGGCAAAATAATCTGGTATAAGCCAACATCCCTCAAACACCAGAAAGAGGGCTAAGTGAAACTGAAATCACCAATCTACCTCTTAAGAAATATTTCAAAATAAAAATCATAAACATGCTCAAGGAGCTACAGAAAAATATTTAAGATGTCAGGGAGGACTTCTACGACCAGATAGAAACATTACAAAATATATTATCTGAAATGAAACATACAGGGATGGATTGAAAAGCAGAGTAGATGAGGTACAGGACATAGTAAATGAAATGGAAATTAGAGAACTGGAAAAAAAAGAAGCTGAGGCATAGAGAGAAAATACAATCTTAGAGATAAAGAATAATAAAAGAAATGTGTGACAAATCCAAATGGACCAATATTCACATTATAGGGGTACCAGAAGAAGAAGAGAGAGAAAAAGGGAGAGAAAGTGTCTTTGAGGAGGTAATTGCTGAAGATTTCCCCAGTCCGGGGAAGGAGATAGTCTCTCAGGCCATGGAGGTGCACAGATGTCCCAACACAATGGACCTGAGGAGGACAACACCAAGACATATAATAATTAAAATTGCAAAGATCAAGGATAAGGACAGACTATTAAAAGCAGCCAGAGAGAGAAAAAAGATCACATACAAAGGAAAACCCATCAGCCTATCATCAGACTTATCAACAGAAACCTTATAGGCCAGAAGGGAGTCACATGATATATTTATTGAAAAGAAACTGAAGGGACTTGAAACAAGAATACTCTACCCAGCAATGTTATCATTTAAATTTGAAGGAGGGATTAAACAATCTCCAGATAAGCAAAAGCTAAGAGAATTTAGGTGGCCGGGCAAGAGGGCAGTGTGAGTAGGGCAGCAGAAATCTCCTCCCACAACCATATATATTTTTGAAAATACAACAAATACAACTGTTCCTAAAAGAGAGACCAGATGATACAGTACAACAGCCAGGCTACATCTACATCTGCAAGAACCCAGTGCCTCACAACGGGGGTAAGATACAAGCCACGGCCTGGCGGGTTCTGAGCACACTCCTCACTCCAGCTCCCCGGTAGGAGGAGAGGAGTTAGAGTGGGGAGGGAGAGGGAGACCAGGACTGCTGAATACCCAGCCCTAGTCATCAGCACTGGGAGCACAGACACACAGTGCAATGGTGTGCTGGATACTAGGGAAATGGAAAAGTAAAATCTGTGAGTGGGTCCCTGCAGCCGGCTCCCCAGGGACAAAAGAAAAGTGAGTGCTTTTTGAAGGTCTTAAAGGGACAGGAGCCTCACAGCTGGACGGAAGTGTCCCGGCACACTCAGCACAGCAGCTGGGAATCCTGGAGAACTTCATTTGCCCTAGCCCCCTGGGCAGCAGCACACCTCTGAGGCCCCTCATGGTGATAAACAACCTCCCACCCGTTCCCCCTCTGGTGTGGCCCCACCATAGCAGAGCAGCAGCCTGAGGCTAGCCATGCCCACAGCAGCCATGCAGAGCCACCTCCGCAGCCATCCAGGCCAGACTTAGAGGTCCCGTCGGTGTGCAGCTGCCCAGCACAAGCTGCTAGGAGTTGCCGTTCTCACAGGAGAAGAAAGTGATGGGCAAGCAGGAATGTACTTTGTTCTCCCAGCTGACACACACACCAACTGCCCACGACTACCTCTATCGCCATGAAAAGGCAGAAGAATTTGACAAGACCAAAATAACAGAGACACCCCCTGAGAAGGAGCCTGGGGAGATAGATTTAACCACTCTTCCTGAAAAAAAATTCAAAATAAAGGTCATAACCATGCTGATGGAGCTGCAGAGAAAAATACAAGAGCTAACGGATAAAGTTGGGAGGAAGAATACAGAAATAAAACAGTCTCTGGAAGGACTTAAAAGCAGAATGGATGAGATGCAAGAGGCCATTAATGGAATAGAAATCAGAGAACAGGAATGCACAGAGCTGATGCAGAGAGAGATAAAAGGATCTCCAGGAATGAAACAATATTAAGAGAACTGTGTGACCAATCCAAATGGAACAATATCTGTGTTATAGGGGTACCAGAAGAAGAGAGAGAAAAAGGGATAGAAAGTGTATTTGAATAAATAATTGCTGAAAACTTCCCCAAACTGGGGGAGGAAATAGACAGACCATGGAAGCACACAGAACTCCCAACAGAAGGGACCCAAGGAAGACAACACCAAGACACATAATAATTAAAATGTCAAAGATCAAGGACAAGGACAGAATATTAAAGGCAGTCAGAGAGAGAAAAAAGGTCACCTACAAAGGAAAATCCATCAGGCTACAATCAGACCTCTCAACAGGAAACCTTACAGGTCAGAAGAGAATGGCATGATATATTTAATGCAATGAAGCAGAGGGGCATTGAACCAAGTATAATGTATCCAGCATGATTATTATTTAAATATGAAGGAGGGATTAAACCATTCCCAGACAAGCAAGAGTTGAGGGAATTTGCCTCCCACAAACCACCTCTACAGGGTATTTTAGAGGGACTTCTCCAGATAGAAGCACTCCTAAGGCTAAATAGATATCATCAGAGAAAATAAAATCACAGCAAAGAAAGCAGACCAACCAAATACTAACTAAAGGCAAAAAAATAAAATCAATTGCCCACAAAAGTTAGGAGAATTTAGCTCACAGAAACCATCTCTACACTCTATTTTGGAGGGACTGTGATAGAAGGAAGTGTTCCTAAGGCTGAACAGCTGACACCAGGGGTAATAAAACCACAGTAAAGAAAGTAGAACAATTAATTACTAAGCAGAGGCAAAATGAAATAAACTAACCGCAAAGTCAGTCAAGGGATAGACAAAGAGTAGAGAATATGACACCTAATATATAAAGAACTAAGGAGGAAGAAAAAGCAGGAGAAAAAAAGAACCTTTGCATTGTGTTTATAAAAGCATGCTATGTGAGTTGTTAGTCTCGTAGATAGTAAGGAAGTTACCCTTGAATGTTTGGTAAACATGAAACTAAAGTCTGTAATGGCAATAAGTACATACCTATCATAATCACCTAAAACAAATGGTCTGAATGCACCAATCAAAAGATAAAGAGTCACTGAGTGAATAAAAAAAAGGTCTGTCTATATGCTTCCTAAAAGAGAATCACTTCAAATCCAGAGACATATAAAGAATGAAAATGATATTTCATGCAACTAACAGGGAGAAAAAAGCAGTAGTTGCAGTAATTGTATCTGGCAAAATAGACTTAAAAAAAAGTAACAAAAGGCAAAGAAGGACATTAAATAATGATAAAGGGGTCAGTCCAACAAGAGGATATAACTATTATAAATATCTATGAACCCAACAGTGGAGCACTACATATGTGAAACAAATACTAACAGAATTGAAGCAGGAAATAGAATGCAATGCATTCATTTTAGGAGACTTCAACACACCACTCAGTCCAAAGGGCAGATCAACCAGACAGAAAATAAGAAAGGAGACAGAGGCACTGAACAACATAGTAGAACAGATGGATTTAATGGACATCTACAGAACACTCCATCCAAAAGCAAGAGGATACACAATCTTCTCAAGTGCAAATGGAACATTTTCAAGAATAGATGATTTACTAGGCCAAAAAAAGAGCCTCAGTATATATAGAAGGATTGAAATTATACCAACCAGCTTCTCAGATCCCAGAGGTATGAAACTAGAAATAAATTACACAAAGAAAGTGAAAAGGCCCACAAACACATGGAGGCTTAATAACATGCTCCTAAATAATAAATGGATAAATGACCAAATAAAAACAGAGATCAAGTAATATATGGAGACAAATGACAACAATAATTCAATACCACAAAATATGGGGGATGCAGCTAAGGCTATGCTATGAGGGAAGTATATTGCAATACAGGCCTACCTCAGAAAAGAGGAACAATTCCAAATGAACAGCCTAAACTCACAATTAACAAAACTAGAAAAAGAAGAACAAATGTGACCCAAAGACAGTAGAAGGAGGAACATAATAAAGATTAGAGAAGAAATAAATAAAATCGAGAAGAATAAAACAATAGAAAGAATCAATGAAAACCAAGAGGTGGTTCTTTGAGAAAATGAAAAAAATACTTAAAACCCTAGCCAGATTTATCAAGAAAAAAAGAGAGTCTACTCACATAAACAAAATCAGAAATGAGAAAGGGAAAATCATTACGGACACCACAGAAATACAAAGAATTAATGGAGAATACTATGAAATATTATATGCAAACAAACTGGATAACCTAGAAGAAATGGACAACTTTCTAGAAAAATACAACTTTCCAAGGCTGACCCAGGAAGAAACAGAAAATCTGAATAGACCAATTACCAGCAAGGAAATTAAATTGGTAATAAAAAAAACTACCTAAGAACAAACCCCTTCATCCAGATGGTTTCATTGCTAAATTTTATCAAACATGTAGTGAAGACATAATACCCATCCTCCTTAAAGTTTTCCAAAAGTAGAAGAGGAGGGAACATTCCCAAAGGTATTCTATGAGGCCAGAATCACCTTAATACCAAAACCAGTCAAAAACACCACAAGAAAAGAAAATTACAGACCAATATCCCTGATGAACATAGATGCAAAAATACTCAACAAAGTATTAGCAAACCGAATTCAAAAATTTATCAGAAAGATCATCCATCGTGCTCACTTCAGCAGTACATTTACTAAAATTGGAATGATACAAAGAAGATTAGCATGATCCCTGTGCAAGGATGACATACAAATTTGTGAAGTGTTCCATATATTTTTTAAAAATAAGATCATCCATCATGATCAAGTAGGATTTATTCCAAGGATGCAAGGATGGTACAACATTTGAAAATCCATCATCATCCACCATATCAACAAAAAGACAAAATCCACATGATCATCTCCATACATGCCAAAAAAGCATTTGACAAATTCAACACCAATTCATGATAAAAACTCTCAACCAAATGGCTATAGAGGGCAAGTACCTCAACATAATAAAGGCCATATATGACAAACAAACACCCAACATTATACTTAACAGCAAGATGCTGAAAGCTTTCATTTTAGATCAAGAACAAGAGAAGGATGCCAACTCTCTCCTCTTTTATTCAGCATGGGAATCAGACAACACAAAGAAATAAAAGGCATCCAGATTGGCAAGGAAGAAGTTAAACTGTCCCTGTTTGCAAATGACATGATGTTGTACATAAAAAACCCTAAAGAATTCACTCCAAAACTACTAGATCTACCATCTGAATTCAGTAAAGTTGCAGAATACAAAATTACTACACAGGAATCTGTTGCCTTCCTATACAGTAATGATGAACTGGCAAAAAGGGAAGTCAGGAAAACAATTCCATTCACAATTGCATCCAAAAGAATAAAATACGTATTTATAAACCTAACCAAGGAAATGAAAAACCTATTCTCTGAAAACTACAAGATGCTCATGAGAGAAATTAAAGAAGACACCAATAAATGGAAACACAGCCTGTGCTCATGGATAGGAAGAATTTGTATTGTCAAAATGGCCATCCTACCTAAAGCAATCTACAAATTCAATGCAATTCCTATCAAAATACCAACAGCATTCTTCAGTGAACTGGAACAAATAATTCGAAAATTAACATGGAACTACAAAAGACCCTGAATAGCCAAAGCAGTCCTGAAAAGGTAGAATAAAGCGGGTGATATTATGCTCCCCAACTTCAAGTTCTGCTACAAAGCCACAGTAATCAAGACAATTTGGTACTGGCACAAGAACAGACCCATAGACGAATGGAACAGACTAGAGAACCCAGATATAAACCCAAGCATATATGGTCAATTAAAATATGATAAAGAGTCATGGATATACAATGGGGAAATGACAGGCTCCTCAACAACTGATTCTGGAAAAACTGGATAGCTACATGCAAAAGAATGAAACTGGATTATTGTCTAATCCCATACACAAAAGTAAACTCAAAATGGATCAAAGACCTCAATATAAGTCATGAAACCATAAAATTCTTAAAAGGAAACATAGGCAAAAATCTCCTGAATATAAACATGAGCAACTTTTTCCTGAATGCATCTCCTTGGGCAAGGGAAACAAAAGCAAAAATGTAGAAATGGGACTAAATCATGCTAAAAAGCTTCTGTACAGCAAAGGACATCATCAGCAGAACAAAAATGTATCATACATTATGGGAGAATATATTTGTGAATGACATACATGACAAGGGGTTAACACCCAAATATATAAAGAACACGCACGCCTCAACAACCGAAAAGCAAATAACCCTATTAATAAATGGGCATAGGATATGAACAGATACTTCTCCAAAGAAGAAATTCAGATGGTCAACAGGGAAATGAAAAGATCCTCCACATCGCTAATTATCAAGGAAATGCCAATTAAAACCACAATGAGATATCACCTCACACCAGTTAGGATGGCCAACATAGAAAAGACTAGGAACAACAAATGCTGGTGAGGATGCAGAGAAATGGGAACCCTCCTACACTGCCGGTGGGAATGTAAACTAGTTCAACCATTGTGGAAAAGCAGTATGAAGGTTCCTCAATAGACTAAAAATAGACATACCACTTGACCCAGGAATTCCACTCCTAGGAATTTACCCTAAGAATGCAGCAGTCCAGTTTGAAAAAGACAGATGTACCCCTATGTTTATCGCAGCACTATTTACAATACCCAAGAAATGGAAGCAACCTAAGTGTCCATCAGTAGTAGATGAATAGATAAAGAAGATGTGGTACGTATACAGAATGGAATGTAATTCAGTGATAAGAAGTAAAGAAATCCTACCATTTGCAACAACATGGATGGAGCTAGAGTGTATTATGCTCAGTGAAATAAGCCAGGTGGAGAAAGACAATTACCAAATGATTTCACTCATCTGTGGAGCATAACAACAAAGCAAAAACCAAAGGAACAAAACAGCAGCTGACTCACAGAACCCAAGAATGGACTAATAGTTGTCAAAGGGAAAGGGACTGGGAAGGGTGGGTGGGAAGGGAGGGAGAAGGGGAAAAGGGGCATTATGATTAGCACACATAATGTGTATGTGGGGGCACAAGGAAGGCAGTATAGCACAGAGAATACAAGTAGTGACTCTACAGCATCTTACTACTCTGATGGACAGTGACTGTAAGTGACTGTAATGGGGTATGTGGTGGAGACTTGATAATGGGGGAATCTAGTAACCACAATGTTGCTCATGTGATTGTATATTAATGATACCAAAAAAGTAATACCAATCAAAATATAAATACAAACAAGGAAAAATAATATCTAGATAGGAACATCTATCTGGGATCATTTCTGTTAATCCTGAATAATTATTTTGAGTGTTTTTTGGTAGTTTCTGTAATCTGGTGATATTTTCTCTCAGATATTTTTCTGCATGAACAATGTCCTTTATTCACCTTCATTTTTTTATCCAGCTTTATTGAGATATAATTGACATACAATGTTGTGTAGTTTAAGGTGTACTATGTACTGATTTGATGTGGTTGTGTAATGCTAAACGATCCCTACTAAAAGGTTAGTTAACACATTCATCATCCTCAGTAACACTTGTTATTTCGCGTTTTTGATGATAGACATTCTAACAGGTGTGAGGTGATTTATACTCATTGCGGTTTGGATTTGCAATACCCTGATGAGTAATTTTGAGCACCTTTCCATGTACCTGTTTATACCATTTGTGTATCTTTGGAAAAAAAGTGTATTCAGTCTGCCTATTTTTAATAGGGTTGTTTTGTTTTCTGCTATTGAGCATGCGATTTCTTATATATTTTGGATATTAACCCCTTAATAGACATGGTTTGCAAATATTTTCTTGCATTATGTAGCCTTTTCATATTGCTGAATGTTTCTTTTTCTGTACAAAAGCTTTTTAGTTTGATGTAGTCCCACATATTTAATTTTGCTTTTGGTGTCATATCCACAAAATCATTGCCAAGACAAATGTCAAGAAGTTTTTTTACTAAATTTTATTCTAGGAGTTTGTGTTTTCAGGTCTCACTTTTAAGTCTTTAATCCATTTTGAGTTCATTTTTGTGATAGGCATAAGACAGGGTCCAAATTCATTTTCTTTTCATGAAAACATCAAATTTTCCCTAAACCATTTATTGAAGAGACTTTCTTTTATCCATTGAGTATTTGTGGTTCCCTGCCAAACATAAGTTGACCATATATGCATTCATTTATTTTTCTGGGTTCTTGATTCTACTCCAGTATTACATGTGTTTATTTTTATGGCAGTACGGTACTGCTTTGATTACATTTTCTGATAATATAGTTTTAAATTAGGAGGCGTGATGCCTCCAGTTTTGTTCTCTTTTATTAAAATTGTTTGGGCTACTCAGGGTCTTCTATTCCATACAAATTTTGGTATTGCTTTTTCTATTTATGAGAAAAATGCCACTGGAAGTTTGACAGGGATTATGTTGAATCTATAAATGGTTTTAAGTAGCATGGACATTTTAACAGTATTAATTCTTCCATCCATGAATACAGAATATATTTTAATTCATTTGTCTTCTTCAAATTCTTTCACCAATGTCTTATAGTTTTCAGTGTACACAATTTTCACTTGGTTAAATTTATTTCTAAATATTTTATTTTTGATACTATTATAAATGGGATTGTTTTCTTTATCTTTTTCTAGATAGTTCATTGTTGGTGTACAGAGATGTAACTGCTTTTTGTATGTTGGTTTTATATCCTGTTACTCTACTGAAATTTTTATTAGTTCTAACAGTTTTTTGTGGTATCTTTAGGATTTTCTATATTTGAGACCATATCATATGTTAATAGATACAATTTTATTTCTTCTTTTTTGATTTTGATGCCTTGTATTTATTTTCCTTGCTTAATTGCTCTGGGTTAAGATTTCCTATTTCAAATAGGAGTGGTGAAAATGAGAACACTTTTCTTGTATCTGATCTTGGCGACATAGCTTTTAACCTATCACCATTAAGTATAACGTTAGGTGTGGATTTGTGTATATGTTATATTATGTTAAGGTATTTTCCTTTTATTCTCATATTTTTAGTTTTTTTAAATCATGAAAACATGTATCTTGTCAGATGCTTTTTCTGCACCTATTTAGATGATCATATGATGTTTATCTATCATTCTATTAATATGGTGTATCATGTTCATTGATTTGTGTATATCGATATATCCTTGCAATTAAGGAATACATCCCAAGTGGTCATGATGTATATTCCCCTTAAGGTATTGTTGAAATCATTTTACTGGTATCTTGATGATTTTTACATCTTCATTCACCAGAGATATCGGTCTACAATCTTCTATTATTATAATGTCCTTATCTGGCTTGGTATCAGGGCAATGCTGACCCTGTATAATGAGTTTGGAAATGTTCCTTCCTCTTCACATTTCTGGAAACACTTGAAAAATACTGGTGTTAATTCTTTAAAATTTGGTAGGATACATCAGTGAAGCTATCCGGTTGTTGGATAATCTGTTGTTGGAGGTTTTTAATTACTGATTCAATCTTCTTACTCATTAACAGTCTATTCATATTTTCTATTCCTTCTGATTAATTCTTGGTAGGTTGCATGTCTCTAGGAACTTATCCCTTTCTTCTAGGTTATCCAATTTGTTAGCATGCAATTATTAATAGTAGTCTCTAATGATCCACTGTATTTCTGTGGTACTGGTTATAATGTGTCCTCTTCCATTTGTGATTTTATTTATTTGAGTATTCTCTTTTTTCATGAGTCTAGATAAAGATT